AGGCCCTTCCTCCATTTAAAGCCCCACCCCTTTCAGCTCCGGCTCAGCCCCGCCCCCTCCCACCGCTCACCCGTCAGGCGCGCCCCCTGGCGGCGGCGAGGGAGGCGGCGCGCGCAGCAGCAGCGGCCCGAAGGTGGCGCCCAGGGCTCGCACGGCGGGGCCCGGGGCGGGGGCGCGCCGGGCCACCCGGCCCAGGTGCTGGAGCAGGAAGCGCAGCGTGAGCGCGCGGTGCAGCGGCAGCGTCGGGGGCTCCAGCGCCGGCCCCACCGGCCCCGCGGCCTCTGCGGACAGACGGCCAGGGCAGGGTGAGCCGGGGCCGGCGCCCGTCCGCCCCGGCCCCCCTCCCCACGCGGGCCTCCCGCGAGGCTTACCCCGCAGGGCCCGGCGCGCCTCGGCTGCGGCCTCGGGAGTCACGAGGGGCGCGGGCAGTGCCAGCAGGAAGCCCTTGACGCCGTCTGTCAGGGCTGCGATGTCCCACTGCTCCACGTCGCTCAGGGACCAGTCTGCGGTGCAGGGGGACATGTCGGTCGTGATGTCCAGGCCAGCTGTCCCCCCCACCCCTGCCCATCGAAGCTTCCCCTCACCTGTACGCAGGGCGGGCAGCTCAGGCCTGTAGAGGGATTCGCTGTCTAGCCCTGGGGAGAAAGGCGAAGGGGTGGTTCAGCTCTAACCCAGGTGGCAAGCCCTGCCCTCAAATGCTTCCTGGAGCCCTCGTGGGGCCTGGGATGGCTACTCAACCTCCCAGAGATAATTGGGGCAGGGAGGGGTAAAGGAGAGAGATGGTGCCAGAGGGCACAGTACATGCAATGGCGGGTCTGGTGACCATATTCCCATCCACATCCTGGCAGTCGCTACTGCCCCAACTCAACACGGAGGCCCAGGGCATCCAAGCTGGGCTTCTTTGCATGCAGAGTGAGTCTGGCAGCCCCATGAGGGGATGAGTTGCCCATCACCAGAGGTAATGGGGTTGTAGGCAGGCTGAGGCTCACCTGTCCGCTCAATGGCCTCCACCAGCTTCACCAGGATGGGGGGAGCCACATCAGGTGGGGAGAACTGCTCTGGCAGGTCGGGGAGTGTGAGGCCTGGCAGAAGGGTAGAGCATGTTGGTGGGGTTCCCTGGAAGGACCCCAGCCCCTTTCTTTGCCTGTTGGACCTCAGCTTGGGCGGCTCCAGGTAGGGTCCGGTCTAGGCAAGTGCCTGGCATCTGTACCACCATCCTAGGGAAGCCAAAACCTGGCTGGAGGGGCTGGGAGGGCCGAGTTGGTGGTAAACAATTTTCTGGGTTAAAATATCCATTTCCACAACTTCGGAGACCAGGTATAGTGGGCTGATTAATGTCCCTCAAAATATGTCCACATCTTAATCCCTGATATCTGTGACTGTGACCTTACTATGCAGATAGAATTAAAGTAAGAAGTCTGAGACAGGATCTGAGATTTAGGGCTCTCAATCCAATGACTGGTGTCTTTTTAAGAAGAGAAGGTCATGTGAGGACAGAGGCAGAGATTGGGGTGATGCGGCCGCAAGCCGAGGAACATCTGGAGGTACTAGAAGCTGGAAGAAGCAAAAGAACCATCCATCCAAGAACCTCCAGAGGGAGCCCAGCCCTGCCGACACCTTGATTTTGGACTTCGGGCCTCCAGAGCAGCGGGCAAGTACATGGCTGCTTGAAGCCACCGAGCTTGCGGGAGTTCAGGAGAGCAGGTTTAGGGTGCTGCCATTGCTTGCTGTGCAACCTGGGGCACAGGACCCACCCTCTCTGTTCCTCGGTCTCCTCAAGTAAGAAACTGGCTCACGGTGTCCTCTCCCTCCTTAGTGCGAACAACAAAGTGGTTGAAAAGAATAAAAAGACAAAATCCCTCTGCGGGTTAGAACACCTCATTCCAAGGACCTTCCTCCATTCTCTAAGTCATCTTGTTTTAAAAAAAGTATTACCCCCCGTTTTAAAAATGCCGAAACCCCTCCCAGCGGGTGCCAGGGGCCTTCCTGGCCCTGCGTTTCTCGCTCCACCGGGCCCTTTGTGTGCAGGCTCCGGCCGTCGGCAGGGACGCCCTGGCATACAGCAGGGGCAAGCCCAGGCCTGCGGGGCCTCCCTGAGTGATAGGCCAGGTGGTGCCTCAAGCTGGAGAAAGGCCCAGTTAAGTCAAAAACGCTGAAGGAAAAAAAAGAGAGAACAAGGGGAGAGGAGGTGGGTGATGGGGGGGGGGGCAGTTCTGAAATCTGCCTGTGACGAGTTTGCAAAACGAGGAGGGAAAACTCATCAGAACATGTGTCACCCCCATTTTATGGATCGGGAACTGAGGCTGAGAGAGGGAGCAACCTCCCTCTGGGGGCCCAGGTGACACAGACGTTCTGCTCTCAGCTCCCGATGTGGGGTTGAATGGAGGAAACACAGGCGGCCACAGCATGTTGCTGGGTGGTCCTAGGACCCCAGAGGGGCAGGGCCTGAATGTACAAAGGACCAAGCCTTCTAGTTGCCAGATGAGGAAACTGAGGCCGGGGCAGGGCTGGCCCCAGCCGCTGTCACACAGCCCTGGAGGATCTGGAGGGCGGGGCCGGGCAGCCACCCAGAGTGGGCATGTGTGTAGAGGCTGGATCGGGGCCAGGCAGAGGAGGGAGGCGGCTGTTACCAGGGGGAGAGGCAGATTTTGGCTGGGAGCCCGGATGGGGCCGCCTCCTGCTCCTCCAGGCTGAGGCGGGACGTAGGCCCTGGAGGCACCAGATGCTGCAAACCCTCGCCTCAGTGCTTCCCATCTGGCCCCATGCTGTGGGGCTCTGGCGTGACCCTCTTGGGGCACCAGTGTCCCTGTAGCGCAAAACCAGGTAGGCCAAAGGTCAGGGCCATGGCGCTTCCCAGGCCCTTGGCCTTCACTGGGTGATGGACCCCGAGTGAGTGGTTTGACCCCTTTGCACCTCGGTCTCCCTATCTGTACACGGGACCTCCCTGGGTTGCTGTGAAGGTTGGAGCAGACTACCAGGCACTCGGCACTTAGCTTCCTTCCCACAAGCTGAGCCTCAGTTTCCCTGGCTGGAACCCATGCGCTCTGCCCAACATACAGCAATTTCCACATACCCTCAGTGCCCTCAATTCTCCACTCCTAGCACATCCCTTGGAAGTGTGGATGGCCAAGGGTCTTTGGGGAGGGATGTGGGGTCCTCATACCCCAGTGTGCTGCATGGCCTCGAGGGATCATCCCATCCTCTTTGGGCTTTGAGGCTCCCTTCATTTTGGTTACCTGGTTAGGTAACAAAGGGGGTTTCTCAAGGGACCCTATCTGCAAACTGAGGGATGAAGCTAAATTGAACCTCTGAATCCTACTGCACACTCTGAATCCTATTGCACACTCCCCACTGTCCTCAAAATCAGTCCCACAGAATCTCTGAGGCATAGCCCCCACTGCCCTTCCCTTCCCACTCCACTCCACTAGCTGTTCCCCAAACCTGCCATTACAGTCCTACCTCGCAGCCTCTGCCTTTGCTGCGCTTGCTGCCTGGAGCCCTTCACCCCCAGCTCTCCCCTCCATGTGAGGCTCCTTCCTCACAGCATTTTTCATTACCTAATCACATTCTTGTCACTTTTTGAACCAGGAGCCCCACAAGGGCAGGGGCCAGGCCTATGTCCGCCACTGTGTTCCCAGTGCCATGATTTGAGCCCAGCCCTTGACAGCAGCACGGTCAACACTTATCGACTGACCAAATGTGCTTATTCCTCCTCCCCTGGAAGACGTGCCATTGCCTCACTAGAAAAAAGAGGAAACTGAGGATCTGAGGGGACCCCGTCCCTGCCAGGGTCCCTGCCTGCCGCTCACCTGGCTCAGGGGGCCCATCCCGGGGCCTGGCGGGCAGTGGGCGGGGGCCACGTGGACGAGGGCCAGGCCGGGCCAGGGCTACAGGACCCAGGAACTCGACGTAGGTGCCGGGGAAGTCACCTCGTTGCCGCGTGCGCTCATTGAGGCCAGGCATCCAGCCCACGCTCTGTGGGCAGCGCTCGTTGCCCTCGGCCACGCCCAGCACCTGCAGGGCTGCCCGGCTCACCACCAACACGTCGCCTGGCAGCAGCTCCAGGTCTTCTGGCCGCTCCCGGCGGAATGGGTACAGCGCGCGGTACTGGAAGCCCTCAGCACCAGCCATGGCTGGGCAGGGTGGGGTCTGGACGGTCAAGCTGCTGCTCGGGGCCCCAGTGGCCCCATCAGCTGGGGTGAGGGCCGGGAGGGTCGCTGAGTCGGCTTGGGGCACCGAGACCACTATTTCCACTGAGAAGTTACAGGTGACCACGGGGGTCACTCATGCCTTGCTTCCCACCATTATTCCATGACCCTGACATGGGTCACTCATTGCTCGGTCCACCATTCGTCAACTGGTGGGAGGGGGTCGGCAGCGTGGTCTCAGCTCACTCAGCTGCTGCGTCCCCCCTCACTCCGTAGGGCAGGGCCAGGCTGCTCACTCCCTCACATGGGGGGCCATCGGCGCCCGAGGCTGGCGGCTCTTCCGGCTGCGCCAGACGAGGGGGCCGAGGGCACAGGCTGTCACCATGCTTGGCCAGGACGCCGACCTAGGGGGAGATGGGCAGGGTGGCATCAGCCAGGTTGGGCTCCTCCCACCCCCACCCCAGAGATGGGCCCAAATATGGGGTCAGAATCCCCTGACTCACTAGGTAACCTTGGGCCAGTCCTAGCCCCTCTCTAGGCTTGTTTCCCCAGCTGTAAAGTGGGTGTAACAACAGCCCTCCCTTGGGGTCACTGGGAGCAGAGCTTCCAAGAACCTGCCCCAGGCATAACGCATGCTCACTAAATAAGCTCTTCATTGCCCCTCCATTTGAGATGAAGAAACTGAGGCTCAGAGCAGGGAGGTCTTTGTTGGACCACTCAGTGGGCCAGGAAGCCAGGACTCATAAACCGAGATCCACCCAACCTCAAGGCCCAGAATGGATTGCAGGAGGTTGCAGCCACATGGGTAGATAGTTATACCCAGAGTGGGTGGAGTGTGATGGGGAATGCTCAGGGTACTGTGGGAGCCCGGAGGAGGGGCCGGGCCAGCTGAGCACAAAAGGAGGCAGTAAGGAAGCAAAGAGGTAGGAAAGCAGGTCCAGGCAGAGGCCCAGCACAGGCAAAGGACTAAGAAGTGAGTCCAAGGTCTCTGCAGGGGAGAAATGAAGTGGGGGGACAGTGTTCCGGCTTGGCTAAATGAGGGGCCTAGAACAGGATCTCAAAACACGAGGGGGGTCATGGGAGACCAAGGGGACCTTGGCCCCCCAGTGCAAGGCAGACATGGAGCCAGGACAGCGTGAATGCGAGATGGGCATCACAGCTGCCAAGCGGGGAGGCTGCTGGATGCAGGGCAATGCTCAAGTCCTGGGAGCCCCAAGTCTTGGGGAAACAGCCCACCACAGACAGCCTTCCCAGTGTCAGCCCTGCAGGTTCAGTTCTCCTGAGACTGGGTGGTGGGGGAGGGCGTGCTTTTCTAGAGGGCGGGTCTTCACAGAGAACAGGAGACAGCACTGGCTAAGGGGATAGAGCGTGCAAAGGCTTGACAGCGGGAAGTTGCTTGCCAAGAGTTCAGGGTGGATCTATGAAAGCCACCAAGCCACCACGCTGGTCCTCGAGTACCAGTTAGAGGGTGGGCTTTATCCCCCCCCCAACCACGAGAGCCCCAGAAGGTGTCGGAGCAGGGAGCAGAGGCTCCACATTCCGGGGCGCCCAAACTTACCCGCTTCCTGGCCTCCCGTACTCCCATTCTACAGGTGGGGAAACTGAGGCCCAGTTAGGGGACATCCAGGAAACCACCCGGATCCGCTTGCCTGCCCGCCTCCGCGCTCCAGCATGCACAGGTTTGCACACGCCCCGGTGTGTGCGCCCGGGGAACCGGCGCTCCCCGAATCCAAAAGGCGGGGTGGAGGGGCCAGGCCTGGCCAGGGGCTCGCCGGCTGCACGCAGGGCTCGCGCCCGCTCACGCGTGCTCAGACGCGCACTCGGGCCTGCGTGGACCCGGCAGCCTAGCCCGGGGAACGGAAGTGGAGTCGACCCCCGACCCTCCTGCATCCCACTACGTCCCACACAATGCCTGGGTGCCCCTCATTACTGCTCGACGCCCCATTCCAGGCAGGGCCTCCTTCCATTCGGGGCCGCAGCCCCAGCCCCTTATCTCGGCCTGGGGGCACCCCGTTCCTGTCCCACGGTCCCGGGCAGGCAGCACTGCTGCTAGGTCCAGCCCGAGGCCTCCCTCCCGTTCCCTGCGGCCCCCAGTTCCCGCGGGGCGCGATGCGGCTCGGCGCTCGCGCTCTGACTTCCACCTCGGCCCCACACTCCACTTAGGAGCCCCGCATTTGAGCGCACCCCAGCCCGGCCTGCCACGCCGGCCGGCCTGGACTTACCTGGTCGCGGCCGTCACCGCCGCCGAGGCCGCCGTCGCACCGAGCCGAGCCCGACCCGTGGCTCCACCGCGGCCGCCGTCGCCGCAGCCGCGGGATCCCCGCCTCCGCCACCGCGGTTCCGAACAGCTGGGCCCGCCCCCGGCGGAAATGGCCGAGCGCATTCGGGCCGGGCGGGTGAAGCTAGGTGGAGGCGGAGCCTCGAGACGTCCGAGTATTTCCGGAAAGAACCGAACATACTCCCGCGGGACTGGCGGGTAGAAGATGCCCCGAGATCGCCGATCGTTGCCGGAGACAGCCGAGTGCAATCGGGTCAGCTAAGCCTTTCCCTAAGCTCGGCTGGGCTTTGAGATGCCCGAGCGATTCCGGAAATCGCCGAGTGCCTTCCAGCTGGACTGATGGAACAGAGGCTGAGCCTCCGGACTGCGGAGAGTTTTGGAAAGAACCGAGTATGCTTGGACCCAGAGGCTGACCACTAACTTCCCGAAATTGCCAAGAATGGATGACTCCAAAGGGCGAGTGAGGCGGCCCTGAGCTCAGGGGAAGAGGAGAGACGTTGGGGTGGGAAAGGAGCTCGCCACGGAAAGCTGAGCTTTTCGGGAAAGCGGAATAGGTTGCGGTGGAAAGCGTTTCCATGGCAGCCTAGAGCGTCCGGAAACAGCTGTACAGACTGCATGCAGCCCTGCGAGCGCTAGAGCACGCCCAAGGGCCCAGACGCGGACGATTGTTTCCGGAAATAGCCGAAGATACTCGGAAACGGGGGGCGTGGTCAAAGGTGTCTGGTGCTACCAAGAACTCAAGAAGTAACCCAAAGCACCCAAGCTGGGCTGGGTTGGGGGATTGGGGCGGGGGTGGGGTGGTATGGGGCACAGTCCAAACAAAAACCTGTATAGACAGGACACAAAGATGGTTTATTTATTTTATTAACACAGCTCAGGGCCCCAGATCGGTGTCTGGATGAAGATTTTAAGGGCAGAGCCTATGATGGGTACTCAGGGAGAGAGAGGGCAGCAGCAGGCCAGGGGCCTGAGAAGGCATCAGGGAGATAATGTCATCGGTGAACTCCTATGCAGCCTTCAGAACCCCTTCAAATGAAGCCAGTTTTCACCCTGTCCCCACCGCACTCTTCCCTTACCCCTTTCTTTGCCCCTCACAAATCCAGACATTGGACCTCCTCTTTGTAAATGTGGGCTTTTATTCACGGTCAGCTCCAGGATGGAAAGAGGGAGCAAGTCATGCACAGCCTTGGTCTAGCTCCAACACCAGCCAGTGCTGGGTGGGGGTCTCTGGGAGGGATGCAGAGTGGGCTGCAGTGCCTGGAAAGTGCCCTCACCATGTGGGGCACAGTGATCTTGCCAGGCACCTCCAAATAGGAAATGGAGGTTCTGTCTGACATGCCTAGTGGGTCACATAGCATCCTAGGGAAGAGAGCTGGAGATGGAGTCAGCTGTTAATCTGGCACCAGACTCTCCTCCATTCAAGCTCCCTTGTTGACAAGGCCCACCAAAGGGCCTGGCTGCATGATTTTTACCAGGTGATTGTGGGACAAGTGTCCACCCCTCACCAGGCCTCAGTTACTTGTCTGTAAAATGGGGATGATGACACCACCTGCAGCCTTCTCAAGGCTGGCTGAGGGAGAAGCCACAAGTAAAAGCGTTTGGCATAGAGTAGATGCTTAATAAATAGTCATTGGGATTAGTTTTTGTAAACACAAGGAAACTGAGGCACAGAGCGGGAAAGCCATTTTCCCAGAGCCACACAGGGAAGCCAAGAATTCAAACTTGCGCCCCATTGCCCCCCAGTTGGGTTTTCTCACTTGAACTTCATTCTAGGAAGGCCGTGACACATTGAGGGACACCCCATGGGGTGTTTCAGACACATCATGGTCAAGGGCTCACCCTGGTGGGCGTTAAGCACATGAAATCTTGTGCAGGGCAGACATTCTTTTCCTGCCCTGGCAGTACCCTTGGAGTCCTGAGTCTCCCTCCCAGGGCATCAGTGTCACCCTGTGGGATGGGTGACCCCTCTGCCTAGATCTGGTGAACTCCTACTCATCCATCAAAGTCCCAGTTCCCACACCCCCTCCTCCAGGCTGAAGCCTTCAGGACTAGAAGTAAACTCTAGCAAGACTGGCCTAGGGATGGAGGCTATGATAGTGAGAAGTAGCTTTCAGAATCCAGTCCATCATCGAGATTGCTTGTTTTGTGGGAGAGGGGAATCATTTGTAGATTCTCCAAGTCATACCCAAACTGGGCCCGGACAGGTAAGCTTGCCTGTATCCCCTCAAATCAGTGGGTATTGGGCCAGGATGGGATCAAGTAACACAAAAAAACTAAAAAATACAGAAAACCTAGAAAACACGAACATACATGACTTGTCCAAGTGCTTCCTTCTCAGCCCAGGGGGCAGCGTCTGCAAATGGGGTCCCAGGTGCAATGGGCAGGACCCGGGCAGCCACCTTCACAGTGGCGGCTCAGTCTACCTATCGCTTATAAAAAGTAATAAATTAGTCGCAGGGATTTGCTGCTATTTACAACGCCACCCTTGTCCCCCATTCCTGCCCCTACGGCCCCTGATCTGTACCAGAACAGAGGGAGGTGCCGTCTCCGCCTTCCAGTAAGGACCGAGGTGGCTTCTCGCCTTCCAGGTATCATAGTCTGGTGGCTCAGTCTCCATCCAGAAGTCACTTTATGGAAAAAACATTGCACAAAAAAAGCCCAACTTCTAGGCCAGGGAGAGGCCAGGTGGGAGGGATCAGTCCTTCCCGGCAGGTCCAAGGGCTCCCAGCACAGCCTCTGCGCCCTCCATGGCAATCTGTGGTACGGAGGTGAGCGGCCCAGCGGCCTCCTCGGGCGGCTCATCAAAGCTCACCTCTTGCACAGCCTCCTGTTTCTTGAAGGAGTCTCGGCGCTCGGACAGGTGTAGCCGCCGCATGACCACCAGCTCCGAGTCTGGCCCACGGCCGCGGCGTCCCAGCTCCCCATCCAGCCGTTCACCTGAACCCAGCTTGTCAGCTGACTGGCCCCGGCGCAACCGTGGGGACCGGGCAGGTGCGGGCGGGTGTCCGGGGAGGGGTGAGGGTGAGCGGGGTGGGGGCACAGGCACGGGTGGGCAGGCCAGTGGGGAGGGCGGGATACTGCTGGTAGACTTGCGGCGACCGGTCTTGGGGCGGGGTGGCCCGAGCTTGGCGGCCAGGCCATGCAGGGAGCTCGGGCGGGTGTGGCCAGCGGCGGCGGGAGAGGCAGGGCTGCTGGAGCTCGGGGAGGCACTGGGAGGGGATGCCGTGTCTGTGGAGGACAGATGAGGGTCAGGGTCACCAGCCTCAATGTCTCCAGCCTCAAGGTGGGGCCCTGGGGCTGAGCACACCTGCCAAAGCCCACGCCCTTCCCTGTGGCCACCCAGTATGCCCGCTTTTCTTGCCTCCTGTTCCGTGTGCAAGTTGTTCCCTTGGCTTAGATCTGGTGAACTCCTACTCAGCCATCAAAGCCCTAGTTCCTCTCCACCCGCCTCGCATCTAATGACCTACCACCACTCAATGGGCCAAAGATACGCTTCACCCCATGAAGTCAGGGTGAGCCAGAGGGGTAGCAACTGGGGTGCCCAGGCCTCCTGGAGGCCCTCCCTGCTTCCCCTTTGGGTTGCCCCAGCCTATTCCTCCCTTCAGCCGGATGCGAACCCAGTGGGGCTGGGGGTGTCTGTGTCTGGCTGTCTCACAGACTGGGGGCGCTCAGCACTGGGCCAAATCACCATCCTTTCCTGCCCCAGAATGATCTTTCTAAAACTCAGACCCCTCTAAAACATGCCTTCTCCAGCTTACTCACCCTCCATGGCTCCCAACTGCCTACCAACGTAAGCCCAGCTCCTTGGCTTGACTCATCTCCCAACTTCCTCTCTCCCCTGCTTTCTTAATCCTCCCTGTCCAGCCCCCTCTGTTCATGATGCTCTCTCTCCTGGGTACACTCTTCCCTGCTCTCACTCCTGTCTCCTACCACCTCCAGGCTGCCCGGAAAGGCCCTTCTGGTCACCTCATTTCCCACATCATGTCATTCCCTCCTTAAAGGAGGTTTAAAACCCTGCTGGCTCCCTCAATGGGGCCAGGCACCACAGACCCGAGTTGCCCCGGGGTGGCACACGTACCTGCTGGGGCATCGGGAGCTGGGCTGCGGCAAGGCGTGGTCGGGCTGGGGGAGAGGCTGTGGGTGGGTGACCCTGGGAGGCTTTCACTGGACGACAGGGAGTGGTGGAGGCCGGAAGAGAAGCTGCGGCTGGTGTGTAGCACAGAGGACTGTTTTGAGATCTTCTTGAAGAGCGACTTCCGCCTGAGGGTGGGAAGCCCTGATGCTTCAGAACCCACACCCCCAGCAGCCCGGGGAGCTGGCCCCCGGGGTCCTCCACCAACACTCCGTGGAGGGCCCACCCGCCGCTCACCGGTCCTGGGTCTCCCGCCGGCGGCTCCGCTTGCTCCGGCGTGCCATGCGGCCCTTGGCCACATTCTTCCGGGCGGGGCCCACCTTGATGGAGGTGTTCTCCAGGGCGGTGGTCCGGAGGGCGATCTTGTTGCCGCTCTGTAGGAGGGATGGCGAGGGGTCACCTGGATGCCTCCCATCTAGGGAGCCACCCACCCACCCGTCTACCTCCTCATCCATTGGAGCCCCCGAGCCTATCTGCCCACTTCTCACCTAATGACCCACCGCCCAGTGGGCCAAAGGTACATGTCCACCATCTTTCTGTCCATGCAACGAGCTACCCACCCACCCGCCGGTCCTAGGAGCTATCCAAGCAAGGCCCTGCCTCCTGGCTTGTGTCCGCCTCCCTACCACCAGGCCTCAGCAGGGTGAGCCAGAGGGAGGGCCAAAAGTAGGGGCACCTGGGGGACTAAGAAGGAGGTACATCCTGGGCAGAGTGGAGGGGACATGCAAGGCCCAAGGAATTGGGACCAGGTGTGGAAAGGTGTGGCTCCAGGGGGAGAACCTCAGCATCAGGGGCTGTCAGGGGGTCAGGGGAGCAAACCAGAGGGTAGACAGCGGGGGCAGATCTGAGGGCCCTGAGGATGGACAGGGGGTAGGGGTTCTGGGAGCCCCAAGGGTGGGCGGTGGTGGGGGCTGTACCTTCAGCAGCAGCTCAACGACATCCATGTGCACCAGCCCCAGGACTGACTCCCCGTTGATGTGGGTGATGAGGTCCCCGGCTCGCAGGCCCGCCTCCTGGGCGGGGCTTCCCTCCTCCACATTCTGGGGGTGAGGGTGGATGGTAGCATCAGCGGTCTGGGGCCCCACAGCTGGAGACCCCGTGCCAGCTGGGTCAGCCATGGGACCCCAGCAAGCTGCTGCCTCCCATGCTGTTTCCTTGACCTTGGGGGCTGTTCAGAGAGTGACTGGTGGGGAGGGAACAGGCCCTGGGCTGGGAGGAGGCAGGACGACACTCCCACTGTGCATCTGTGGGCAGGGGCCAGGAGCTTCATGCCCAACTGAGGTCTCTAACCCTCTGTCCATCCCTGTCCGTCTTGCCCAAGCCCCTCCCCATAAGGAAGAGGGACTGCAAAGATCCAGGTGGCACCAGCTCCCGGCCCTGGGCTCCAAAACCTTGCAGGCAATGAGACTAGAAAGTGCGGCTCCAAAAGTGAAGCATCTTGCCAGGGGGAAGCTAGACTCAAACCAGGTCCCGCTCTTCCTGCTCAGCCCAAGGCCAACTTACCCAGACAACGTGGTGCACGGTGTAGACATCGCTGTCGCCCATGTAGACGCGGATGGCCCGCAGGCTGAAGCCGTACTTCTTGCCTGAGCTGTGGATGACAATGGGGGGCCGCAGGCTGCCACACACGGGGGACGGGTCTCGGCTTGGAGAGGAGTCTCGGGACGATGGGTTCGAGGACAGCGAGCGTGGGGACAGAGGGCTCATGAGGGGGCCGCCACTGCCATCATCTGCAGGACCAGGGTTGGGAGGGGGTCACTCCCTTGCAGGGACCAGGGCCGGGAGGGCAGCCCCCCCCACCAAGCTGATCACTCTGGCTGCTTTCCTGTTGTTCCAATGCCCCCAGCATAGCCCCCTCACCTGGCCTTTGCACATGCAGTGCCCTCTGCCGGAAATGCCAGTCCCCCAGCTCTCCCTGGGGCTAGCTGCTTCCCCCGTCCCGTGGCAGGGCCCCAACCCGGGGGTCAAAACAGACGTGGACAGACAAGCAAAGACAAGGCTGGGCCACGCGCGGTACCGGCTGTGATGATGAGGGACAGGGCGGACACTGAGGCAGACTTGGGCACGCGGCCCCCGCTGGGGGAGACCCGAGACTTCTCGGGAGCCGGGTCTCTTGAGCCCCCGAGGCGGCGGCCCCGACCAGCATCCAGGGCCCGCGGTGTCGAGTGTCGCGCACCAGTGCTGTTGCTTCGTAGGCGTGCGTGGCTGAGGGCAGCTGTGTCGGCTAGGGGTCAACAGGGTTGGCGGTCAGCCCGGCCGCTCTCGCCACTCCGCCCCCTGCCCTCAGGAGGCAAAGCCCCTTCCTCCCCGGTCGGCGTGTACACCGTCCAGCCTCCTCCTGGCCTTTCTTCAGGCAGTTCCCCCTTCCTACACTTCCTTCCTGCCCTGCTCTCCCTGGAAAGCTCCACTCTTCAAGTCCCCTCCTCTAAGAAGCCTTCCCCCACCCCTCAGACCCCGACACCCCTCTCAGAGCTCCCCAGCCTCATCCCCTTCTCCAGTCCCACCCTGACCCCATGAAGCTGGGGGTATCACCCCTAGATTGGGAGTGACACTGAGGCCTGAGGCCTCTCTGGAGCCCTGGCCTCTCCTATCTTAAAGCCTTTGTTAGACGAGCGAATGGGCTCTCTGGAGAGCTCCTACTCAGCCTTCAAAACCCGTCTCAAATAGTCCCTCCTCTGGGAAACTTTCTACAATACGATCCCTCCCATCCGGGACCTCACCTACCAGAAAGGCTTGACGGCTTGGGCATCACTGGGGTGGCTGCTGGGGGTGGATCAGGCTCCCCCAGAATGAAGATGGGCCTCTTAGGGCCTGCAGAGGCTGGGCTGGCTCCCTCATCCTCTGACGAGAAGGCAAACTTGGGCATTGTGTCCAGGATAATAGTATTCAAGAGAGATGGGCTGGGGCCCCGCTCAGGCTGGGAAGAAGAAGACTGGCAGGAAGAACCAGAGGATGTCCAGGACCTCAGTCTGCAGCAGAGGAGAGCCAAAGTCACACTTGCCAGGTACCCTCACCCCAGGACACCCAGTCACCCCTAGTGGCCATATTTTAACTCTCAGCTTAGAAACAGAGGTAATTTGTAAATGCGGGGTGAACTCCCTCAGCATGCTCGGTCCTCTGTCTACCCAGAGAATTTCTTTTCTTTTATTTTTTTTAAGATTTTATTTATTTATTTGACAGAGAGACACAAGCAGGGGGAGCGGGAGAGGGAGAAGCAGGCTTCCCGCTGAGCAGGGAGCCTGACATGGGGCTCAATCCCAGGACCTCGGGATCATGACCTGAGCCGAAGGCAGACGCTTAACTGACTGAGCCACCCAGGCGCCCCTCTGTCTGTCTTCTAAAACCCAGCTTCCAACACCCCTCCGTTAGCGGACATTGATTATTTTTCTGCTGAGTCTGGTCTTTGAAGAATGAACAGGAGTTCGTTAGCAAAGGGTATTCCGGAATAGGGCAAGCAAAAGCCTAACAGTATGACCGCGTAGTTGCTCTACGCACAGTGTGGTCCGGGGTGCAAAGCCAGGGGGCCACGTCGGTGGGGCTCTGACACGCCAGCCCACGTGTTTGACCCTTTTCGACTGGGCCACTGGGAAGCTTTCTCCAGCGTTAGACCTTGTGGTCCCCACCTCCCAGCAGCCTTGGTGGCTGCCTCTGCGCACACGCCCCAGCCCACCTACCTGATCTCCACGCTCAAGCGGCGGCCAGACTCGCCCTCACCGCTGCGCTCCCACCCTTCCTCCCGGTCCTCGCTGAAGCTCCGCTCGGCGAAGGTTGGGGTGGGCTGGGCGGCCAGGAACTCGGAGCTGCTATAGACCTGGCAGCAACAGAATATAACAGTAAGGACACGGACACAGGCAGCCACACCCTGGGGAAGAGCCGGCTTAGTTGAATGCTTCCTATAAGTCCGACGCTTCCTTGTGAGTCATTTCCTTCTATCCATACTCGCCACATCCCTAAGAACAGAAGAGTCTTTAGCCCACTGTACAGATGGAGAAACTGAGGCTCAGAGGGCCCTGGCTACCAACGGGGCCACAGCCGGGGTTCCTGCTGCTGATCGGGACGCTCTGCGTGGGTCTCAGGCCCGCAAGCAGCACAGAAGGTTTTTTTCATCCAATTATAAATGAAGGAAGGCGCTTAAGCTGGTGAGGCTCTAAAGTGAGCAGTGAGCGAGGAGCACTGTTCACAAGCACCTCAATGCAGGCACACCCCTAATGTCCATCAACGGAGGGGTAAATACAGTGTGGCCCATCCACGCAATGGAATATCACTCAGCCATAAAGAGGAACCAAGCTCTGACACGGGCTACACCGTGGATGAGCCTCGAAGACGTTGTGCTGAGCGGAAGAGGTCAGACATGAAAGGCCACGTGTTGTGTGATTCCACTTAGGTGAAAGATCCAGAAGAAGCAAATCCAGAGACAGAAAGCAGATTGGTGGTTGCCAGGCGCCGGGGGAGGGGGGCAGGAGAGTGACTGCTCGTAGGGGCAGGGGTGATGGGAAGGTTCTAGAGCTAGACAGAGGTGATGGGTGTCCAACATTCCGAATGTACTAAATGGCGCTGAACTGTACAGTTTAAAATGGCTAATGTGGTACATTTTATATGTATTCTTACCACAATAAAAAAAAAAAAAAAAGTAGAACCCCGCTGCCCCCCCCCCCCCCCCCCACCCGCCCAGTGAACATCTTGCCGTGTTTCCTGAGTGCTAGCTGTGTCTGGCCCCAGGCCCACCTTGCTGAACCGGTGGGAACAAGATGAGAACTGAGGGATCTCTGTGGATGACTCCTCGTCATTGGTCTCCTCATCCTCCGAGCCCAGGTGGCGGTAACGTTCCGAACGTGCTGGGGAGGGAAAGGCACGTGCAGCCCACCTGATGTCCGCAGGTGGCCGCAAGGGCTGTGGGGTGATGTGGGGAGGGCGTCCCAGGCGGGGAGACACTGTCAGGGCAAAGGGATCGAGGTGGGACAATGTCTGGTGTATTAAGGGACCACAGGAGGCGTGAGTGGCAGAGTGAGTACCTGGCAATAAACAACTCAGCTGCATTCCTACGATCTGCGGGACCGTGGGTGGGAATACTTGTCTGACCCTCAGTCTCCTCACCCCTGAGATGGGTCACCCAGAAGTTGGTAATACTGGGCATCTTAAAAGGATGCTCCCTATTTTACAGAAGAGGAGACATGCTCAGAGAGGACCTCTGACATGCCCAAAAGCACAGCAAGGTCTGGAGGAGGTGCTGGAAACCGAGGGCATTTCATCTGCCTGGCTGGAGCCCCAAGTGGGCAGAGGAAGAGTTGTCTGAGCCCACCCACAGTGTTGGAGGGGTTCCCCCCACAAAGCCCAGCAAAGCGCCCCGCCCTTCTATGTGACAAACAGGGCTCCGTGCCTGGTCAAGGCTGGACACTAAGGAGGCTGAACTTGCTAGGGATGCCAGGCAAGGGTCTGCCACACTCAGCGCCTCGGTTTCCCCTCCTGCAATCCGGAAGGATGCTGTGGCCTCCTGACCCCAGATGCGCAAGGAAACCAGCCAGGGGGGTGGGGTGGGGTGGGCAGCTACCAGCAGACATGCTCTAATTTCTCAGAAAGCTCAGGAAGTCAGAAGCTCCAGGCTCAGGGCGAGGCGCTTGGGTGGAGACCCTGGCAGACACCCCACCCCATCTCAGGCGAATGTGGGACAGCAGAGTCCGCCCCCTTAACCCCTACTTACTGTCAAAGTAGCTGGTGTCGTCCTCGGCTTCAAGCTGTGGCACAAACTCAGCTTTGTGTCGCAGAAGCCCAGCCCAGTCCAGTGTCCAGAAGAAGGGGTGCTGCTTTACCTCGTGGGTGCCACCTACAGACATGCCCAGCTCAGCCCTGCAGCTCCCTGTCCCCACTGCCCTCTGGGTCAACTATGAGCCCAAACCTGGCCAACACAGAACCATAAAGATGGCGAGGGGAGCAGCTGCTGTTTCAGAGTCTGAAGAGGGACAGAGCCGGGGCTAGAACCCAGGCCCTGCTCTTGCCTCTGCTGGATTCTGAGATGCCACCACCCGGAGAAACCCCAGAGCCCTAGGAGGGCTTCCTTCCCAGGCCTTTTCCACGTATTTCTACTCCATGGAGTAGACCGACTGTGTGAAGGTATCCTGTTCCCCAGCCTCAGCCCCTATGGTCCTCTCCAGTGGCTAGGCTTCATCATGAACGTGACCTGTAGTGGCTGTGTAATGGGTTGCTGCAAGAGTCTCAGTCCCTTAACCATTAATTAGGTGGCTAAGGAAACCTGAACAGTGGGATCCACTGGGCTGGGCCTTTGAGGACCTTAGGACACAGCCCATGATGACCCTGCAGGCTCCCATACTCACCCTCAGTGCCTCTTGTCTGCATCAGACCCAGCTCCCTGTTAGCTCCTGGTGAACTCCTATGTATCCTTCAAAACCCCAGCCCCAATCCCCCCTCCTCTATGTAGCCTCTCGAGTTACTGCTTCCCCACCCCCCTGCCACCCTGCCCCAATCACATACCAGTGCCCAGACGGTCCAGTGGGCTCTGTCGGAGCAGCCTGGTGATGAGGTCTTGGGCATCAGCTGGGAGGGCCTCATCCCCTTCTGGCCACATGATCTCATCTAAAATGAGGAAAGGGGAAAAAAAAATTAAATTAAATTAATAAAATGAAATAAAATAAAATAGCAGAGGGAGTGAGAGGGTGAGGCTAGCCCTTCGTAGCACCTCCGACCACCTCCCCTCACTCAGTGCACACCGAGCCGTCGGCCTCCTCTGTTCCTTCAACACACCAGGCTCAGTCCCACCCACAGCCTTTGCTCTGGCTGTACCCCCCTACCAGGGCTGTACCCCTCTTCTACTTCTGTGGCTCCCTCTCGCTCCTTCAGGCTGTGCTCACACTGTCACCTCAGTGAGGCCTCCGTGACCCCCTATTTAAGGCAGCCCCCACCACAATCTGGTACCCCATCCTCTCCCATCTTCCTGCTTTTTTTTCTTGGCATTTTTTTGTACCTGATGTTCGGTAATTTGCTTATTGATCTCCCTCACTGTCTGTCTTGCCCTTGGCCATGTCCCCAGTGTCTGGTTGGGGCTAGGCACCCTGTAGGGGGGCTGCTGCCCAGAGCCCCAGTGGGGCCAAGACTCGAACCGCGGCCATGGTGGGGGAAACGCACCACTGACCACCTGGCCAAAGAGTTCCTCGGGGGTATCTCCGAAGAAAGGCACACAGCCCACCAGGAATTCATAGAGGACAACACCCATGGCCCACCAGTCCACTGGCTTCCCGTAGCCCTGGCGGAAGATCACCTCGGGCGCGATGTACTCAGGCGTCCCGCACACCTGGGTCAGGCAGAATGGGGAAGAGGAGGGTGGCCTCCAACTCCAGAGAGGCCACAGGAGAGATGGAGAGGTCAAGGCCAGGCTGGGCACAGGGGTGGAGAGAATTATGGGGGAGGGGGGGCAATTTATCTTCTCCTTTGTGCTGCAAAATCTCCCCATGTCCTGAGGGTCAGGATCCAGACAGAGGGAGGCGGTCCCGCACCCACAGCCCCCTGCCCACCCGCACACCTGCTTGTCCACGAACTCCCGGGTGTCCTTCTCGATGTGGCCCTCGTAGAGGTTGGTGGCCATGCTCATGAGCCCAATCTTGGACAGGCCAAAGTCGGTCAGCTTGATGTGGCCAAGTGAGGTGATGAGTAGGCTGTGGGCGGGTGGGTGGTGCACTCAGGGCCAGGGGGCCCAAGGTGCCTGGCCGCTCATGCCAGCCCAGAACTTGGTGCCACCCCAGGTGGGCTGAGGTCCAGCCAGGGCAGCTTCACTCCCCGGAGGGGGTCTGAAAGAGCTTCCTGAACACGGGCACATTATCACAAGAACCAGTAGGTCTTGGGCGGTATTTCAAATCTGGCAAACATCTTGGTGCACCTACTGGATGCGTCTGCTGTTGCTGCTGAGCACCAACTGTATACTCCACTGTTCAAATACAAATTTCCTGAGAATCACTCTGTCTCCCCACTGTGCATTAAAACGTCTGAACACCTACTGGGTGGATCTAAAATATATGTTTGTACATGTGTCCATTCTTTTTGACAAACTAAACGCTTTGCAAACACTTATTGTTTACATTCCCTGTTGAACAATGAACATACTTTGAGCATGTGCTCAAGTATGTATACAGAAATCTTTCTGTGCATCTCCTGCGGAGACCCACTTTTAAAAACTTGGACACCTACCATGTACCCTGCTATTCAAGCTTTCCCATCAGCTTAAGTACATACACGTTTTGCGAGGTGATAGAACCACATGGAACATCTTTAATAAAGTCACATTTTTATGTACCTCCTGGTATACGGGCTGCTTCATTTCTAGAGAACTCACTGTGTATATCCAAGCTGTTTGATAAACCCTTTATTTGGCACATCCTGTATATATAACTTGACTCTATAAAAAAAATAATTCTGTGCACCTACTATGTGTAGCCACTATTTTTAAAGAGACGTTTCCTGAGCAACTACTGTGTACATCAGCTGAGGAAAACCATTTTGGTGTAGCCCCCAGGGGCAGTTAAAACCAAGGGCTTGGGGGTGCCTGTGTGGCTCAGTCGGTTAAGCAGTTTGCCTTCGGCTCAGGTCATGATCCCAGGGTCCTGGGATCGAGCCCCGCGTCGGGCTCCCTGCTCAGCGGGAAGCCTGTTTCTCCCTCTGCCACTCCCCCTGCTTGTGTTCCCTCTCTCGCTGTGTTTCTAGCAAATAAATAAATAAGATCTTTAAAAAAATAAAATAAAGGGCGCCTGGGTGGCTCAGGTCATTGGTTAAGTGACTGCCTTCAGCTCAGGTCATGATCCTGGAGTCCCGGGATCGAGTCCTGCATCGGGCCCCCTGCTCGGCGGGGAGTCTGCTTCTCCCTCTGACCCTCTTCCCTCTCGTGCTCTCTGTCTCTCATTCTCTCTCTCAAATAAATAAATAAAATCTTAAAAAAAAAAAGATAGCTCCCAGAAAACATTAAAAAAAATAAATAAAAATAAATAAAAATAAAATATCAAAAACCAAGGGCTTAGGCAGGCCTGGGGCCATCCACTGGTAAGACAGCCAATACTTCTGGAGTTCCTATGGGCACACGCCTGTCTAAAAAACATTCACCTCTTGAACACCGACTGTATGAGCTATTTAAGAAAAATGTTTTCCTTCTTAGAAATGAAATGCTATGATGCTGGGGATATGCTTCAAATTACCCAGCCTGGAGGGAGGGGAGAGCTGGAAGTGGGAGGAAGCAGCACTGGGCGAGTGTTGGAAGCTGCAGGATCCGCATGGATGTGGGGAGTGGATGGCGGGGGCACTGGACCCTTCTGTTCTGAGCTGGACTGTGTATCTCCAAATTCCCATGTGGAAGCCCTCACCCCCGGGAACTACAAATATGACCTAATTTGGAGGGAGGATGGTCGTGTGACTCGTTAAATGAGGACGCCCTAGAATACAGTGGTCCCTCATTCAATAGGACTGGTGTCCTTATGAAAACGGGACATGTGGACACAGACATGCAGAGGGAGGACACCACGTGAAGGCCAGAGCGATGCTGTCATGAGCCACGAAATCACCAGAAGCTGGGGGAGAGACCTGGAAAAGATCCTTCCCTGGCACCTTCAGAGGGAGCCCTGCTGATACCTTCATCTTGGACTCCTGGCCTCCAGTACCGTGAGAACACACTTCTGTGGCTTCGGCTGCCTAGTCCATGCTACTTTGCTCTGATGGCCCTAGCAAATGAATGCACCTTCTCTTGACTTCGGGATGTATTTGAAATCTTCCAAAGTGAAAAAAAATTTTTTTTCTCGAGCACCTGTTATGTGTGCCCACCTCCCTGAGCCCTCTGGGGCTGGACACTTGCCTGAGCCTTTTTGCAGATGAGGGTCCTGAACCTGGGAGGGGCGGGTCCTGCTTTGGGGTTTAACCTGACACACTCAGGAGACCCCACCCCACTCTAGGATGATCCACAGAGTTCTGCTGGGCACAGGGCATCCTTAGAGTGTCGAACACAGAGGTCCAGGTATACAACAGGTGCCAAATACACACTTTATCTTCTGAGCTGCTGGCAAACTACGAGATGCCCTGGAAACAGGCAGGGCTCTTAATGCTTCTGTTCACACCTCCACAGAGCAAGTATCTTCATCTGAGAAAGGGACAGTAGGTGCTCAATGCTGCTCTCAAAACAAAAACTTTAATACAAAGGCAGCTGAAGTGTTCTGGGCCTGGCACACAGCCATTGCCTAATAACTGTTGCTCTAATCACCTTACACAAAGCTGGTGCCCCATGAATTTACGCACCAGATTAAAAAAAAAAATGTGCTTTATAAATCCGAAGGGGTCATCATTGTGAGAGGAGTTAGTCATACTGCCATCTGGGTTCCTGAAAACAAGCATGTCTAGGTATACAGCAGCTGCCAAATACCCATCTGCTTTGTTTTCTGAGCCACTCACAAACTGCAAGATGCCTGAAAACATGCAGGCTCTCGACATTTCTGTTCACACCTCCACAAGGCCAGAACCCGAGAAACTCGAGGTTCTTGCCTGGTATCCACAGGGCACTTGATATAAGAACAGCCCCTGGCTCCATAAATAGCAGGTGCCAATTAATGCAGGCAAGAATGCCTTGCAAATTACGTAGGGGTTACAAAGCATGAAGGATCATTCATACATGTATCTTACAGTCACCCATAGAGGACCCGGCATGCAGTAGGTGCTTCTTAGGTGCTAGAGTAAAATAAACCTCCCGAGGCTCTCGATAAACATGTTCTCTTCCTTTCTTGCCTGCACGAACATACAACAGGTGCTCAAGACATGCACAGTCCCTTCCTTCACATGTAAGGTCTTGCAAAGGGCATATCCCTGCTCCCAGTATATAGATGGTGCCTCCTAAGTGCACGTTCTCTCCCCTTGGAGCAGCAGCTCTTTGAGCGCACAGTCCCTTCCCCTGTATATTTTGTGCAACCTAAAGGGCACATTCTCTTTGCCTGGCAGCCCCTCCATAAATGTACTATCCTTGGGCGCCTGGGTGGCTCAGTTGGTTAAGCGACTGCCTTCGGCTCAGGTCATGATCCCGGAGTCCCGGGATCGAGTCCCACATTGGGCTCCCTGCTCAGCAGGGAGTCTGCTTCTCCCTCTGACCCTCTTCCCTCTCGTGCTCTCTATCTCTCATTCTCTCTCTCTCAAATAAATAAATAAAATCTTTAAAAAAAAAAAATGTACTATCCTTCCCTTGCATACAACAGGTGCCTATTAAGTACCTGATCTCCTCTGTACATACCGGGTGCCCAACATGCCACTATTCTGTGTTTTCCTGTCACCAGGGGCCTCAGGGGCCAGCAGAATCCAGACAGGTAGGGCTCTGAGCAGCCCCCAGACCCCAATCAGAGGCCCTGCTCCGCCCACCCCCCCCCCCCGGCTCCAAGGCCCCAGGCTGCTCACTTGTCAGGCTTGAGGTCACGGTGCACGATGCCATAGTTGTGCAAGTATTCGAGCGCAAGCACCGTCTCGGCAAAGTACATGCGGGCCATGTCCACAGGCAGTGGGCCCATGTTCTTCAGGAGCGTGGCACAGTCGCCGCCTGTGGGGAGCACAGATGCACAGAGGCCCTGGGCTCTATAGCCTCGCCCCAGGCTTCCAAGACCACTCCAACCTCCTGCAAAACGTCCCCGGTCTGTACCGAACCAAGGTGGGGACCAAGCAGCGCAGGAGGGAGGGCAGATCTCGACTCCTGATTCTCCCCCTGGAAGGACAGCAGCTCCGTAAGGGCGCAGTCCCTTACCCTGTACACAGGTGATGCCTCTTAAGTGCTCGTTCCCTCTCCTTGCACAGAAGCACCTCGATCAACACACACCGCCGCGCTCACCTGAAGGGCCTGCTCATTCTTAAACGGCAAACTTGCTCCCACAACTCCTCTCCCTGGCCTCCAACCATCCCGGCCTTTCCACCCCCCACCTCCCTCCCTTCCCTGCTCTTCCTTCTGGCCTTCAGGCCTCTGCTCACTAGTACCCCCTGCCAAAGGTGTCCATCCTTACCCTATCCCCCAGGATCCTACTCTCACATTCCTCTTCAGCTCCCTCGGCCCCAACCCCCCAGGATGGGCCCCTGCACCACAGACTGAAGGTCCCCCGAGGCAGGCTGGGACCCCTTGGAGGACAGAGCAGACCCTAGCTTGGTCAAAGGATGGACTATCTTTTGGGTAGAGGGTGAGCTCCCCGTCACCGTAGGCATACAAGCCCTCGTGACCGCACCTTCCACATACTCCATGACCATACACAAGTGGCGCCGGGTCTCAAAGGAGCAGAACATGCTGACCACAAATGGGTTCTCGGCAAAGGTGAGTATGTCACGCTCCACAAAGACCTGTTGGATCTGGTTGCGAAGAATCAGGTTCTGCTTGTTGATCTTCTTGATGGCAAAGCGCTGCCGTGTGTCTCGGTGCCGCACCAGGTAGACAGCCCTGGGGGAGCCGGGGTCACTGAGGCCAGACACTGAGGCCCCCGCAGGCAGTGGGGCCTGGCGTGGGCCCAGAACCCAACCGGCCAGGCCTTTGCCTGTGCTGTGCCCTACATCCGGGACACCCTTTCTCCTTCCCCGGCCCCTCTCCGAAAGCAGCCCCCCTATGGGTCTAAACTGCCCCTCCCTGGTGTCACATCGAGAAGGCAAAGATGGCCCCTAGGTTACTTCTTCACAGTAGATGGAGACCCTTTAGCTCAAAAGCCCCCCGGCACCAGGCTCAAATCGCTTTATGTAGAGCTGAAATGAGCAGATTTTGAACCATTTAGAGCTTGCCAAGTTTGTGTATCTAGTAAAACTGCCTCGGACTAGCCATCCGTAAGATAAACCCTGCGGGCTACGAAGACCCCAAGGCACTATTGCCTTTTGGAGCAGTCTGACCCAGACTCCCGGCCACGCTGCTGAGTGACATCACCTAGACTCATAAGCCCCCTCTCTAGTCCCCCCACTGGATAGTCTTATGCTGTGCAGGACTCCCCCTCCCACACCACCTCCACGCAAATCCATCAAAGTGGCACTAAGATAATGCTCACTGCACGCCCCTGCCGCTGCACAGCCATCTTTTTCCTTGCGTGGTCCCGAAAAGCCTACACTTCTCTGTACCTGCGGCAGGTAACGGCCTAGACCATGGATGAGCCTGTCTGAGGCTCTGGCCTGGCTGTACTGCATCTCTACTTCCCTCGCCAGGCCTCAGTTTCCTATCTCCACACTCAGGGGCCACCTGGACCTCAGTCATCCCCATGGGCATCTGAGAAATGGGTCTATGGGGGACCTGAGGACTTACCCGTAGGCCCCGTTGCTAATGAGTTTGATGGTCTCGAAGTCGTTCTCACATGGCTTCCTCCGTGATGGGCCGACAAGGGCACGGCTCTAGGGGGCAAGGAGGGGTCAGGGGTCCTGCCCCACCTCAGGGTAGGCCAGGCTCTCCCTTCCCTCAAGTCCCAACCACTGGGTCTTGCGTCTGATGCTACTTCCTCCCTCCAAACTTCTCCAGCTCAGCTTCTGAGTTTCTGAGCTTTGGCTCAAGTCATGTTTTCCTTCCAGAAAACTCCTATACATCCTCCAAAACTCCCCTTTCCGGTGCCCCCTACAGTCTGGCCCTGCCCAAACACCATGGCAGGGTAGTCTCACTTGCCTTTACCTTCTCCCTAAAGTCTGGCATTTATTAAGCACCTATTACATGCAAAACCTCACCAAACCCAGGCCCTCCCATGGCTTCCTGGTCTACCTTGAAAAGAACAAGACAGGTGGGAGCATCAAAGTTCTGACTTACCTCCGGGGACTCAGGTGCTGGAGGCTGTCCTCCCTCTTCCAGGTGACTCAGAGGCACCATCTCTGTAAGACAAGGGAGGAGCCTCAAATGGGGCCTCCATGCCCTGCCCCTCGATCCCCCAGAGATTTCACACAGCTTCCAAGGCTCATCCTGGGCTGGGGACGTGGTGCCTCCCTGACCAGCTCCCATGATACCATCATTGAGCCCCTACGACGTCCAGGTCTTGGCCAAACCCAGGAGACCAGACTAAGCAATGGCTGAGGAACCTTCCAGAAGCACCAGTGGGAAGCCCAGCCTCTGAACGGCGCAGCTGTCATCCTGGCTCCAAGCCTTGGACCTGTTAACACAGGCTGTGACATGGGCCCTCTGGGTTTTGGCTCCTAATATCCTCCTCAGTTTAGGGTGTGGCCCAGAGGGAGCCCCCCCCCCATTTTCTGGCCCTAGGGCTTGGCAGAGGGGTGGTCCCGAATGAGTGGTTGATGAACATGAGCCATGATGATGGCAATAAAGACAATGTCTCACAGTCACGGGACAGAGCTGGGATGGGACAGTGGAGTCTCACGGGTGAGGGAGGCCTGGGTTTGAATGCAGCCCCTTTTACTCAGTGGGGTCCCCTGGGGGGGGCACTGAATAGATGATCTGCCCCGTAGTCTCAGCTGCCAACTGCCTGGCCACTTTCTGCCTCCTCTGACCCTGGGGCCACCCACAGCGCCACCTGCATTATATCCACTGGACAGCCGAACACAGCCATGGCCACACAGCAAATCTTTAAGTGGTCTGGCCTTGGGCCCACCGAGGTCTGAACCCCTCCCTGCTCAACCTCATCTACCCAGAGCCTCAGTCATTCCAACTTTAAATGGGGACAATGGCAGCTCGGTCCCAGGGTTAACACAGCAATGATGCTGGGTAGACACTGGCCCCAGTGCAAAGCCCTGCCAACCCCATCGCCTCCTCCCAGCTTCCCCCCTTCCTTGGCTCTAGCCACACCCCTCCTCCCCGCTGTTCTGCCCACGCACCAGGCATGGTTCCACCTCAGGGCCTTTGCGTTCACCCTTCCCCCTGCCTGGTTCACTGCCTCTCTTCCCCAGATCTGTACCTGGTCACCTCTCCATCTACCAGCACGCAGCTTACACATCCACCTTTCACCAGAGCCACCTGTGACCACACCTGGACCAGGCCAGGTCCAAGCTCGATGTTCCCCTAGTACCACGTCTCAGTTCTCCTGCCTCAGCTGTCTGGGGGAGTTCTTGACCAGCCTGGTCCAGCCCACAGGTCACCCCGTCTGACTCCGAGTCTACCTCCTGGGCTGCAGCCAGATGACATCGGGAAAGTATTTCATGAGATAATAGCAATGCTATTGCTCATGGTAGCTCCCTGGTCCATCTTAACTCGGCATCGGAGGCCCCGGCGAGTCGGGGGGTCTGGCGTGTGGCTGTCTGCTGCAGGAACCCCAGTGCACCTTCCCACAGTGCGCCCCGCAAGTGGCCGAGGGCAGGGCCCCAGACAGACGAAGGACAGTATGGCAGCTGTGAAGTCGACGGGCGTGGGTTCGAATCACAGCTCTGCCCCAGCCTCTCCTTGGGTTTTCTTCCCACTCCTCTGTCAGCTCACCCTCGAGGGGGTCCTTAGCCAGGCCCAGCTGCCCGATGATGTACTGCGGCAGGTCCGTCTTAATGCCCTGGCCCTCTCGGGCCTGGCCCTCGGCAGCCTCCAGCAGGTGATAAAACTCCTCGGGGTCAAACTCCTGCGGGTGCAGAGAGGCTGGTCAGCCGGGGCTCAGTCTCACCTCCAGGCCTTGGCACATGCTGTTCCCTCTGTCCGGAGCAGCCCGAGGGGCGGCTCCAGCTCTCCCCTCCAAGTCTCAGTGCCTGACCCTTCCCTGGGGAAAGAAGCCCAGCCCAGCCTGGAGGTGCCCTGTGTGCCTCTCAAACCTCTACCCCAGGGGCACTGTCTCCTGTACCTGAGCAGGACCATCACCCAGCCGTGTGCGGAGACTCACCAGGCACTCAAGGAGCCTCGCTGGCCTCGAGATGATGATGAGCAGCTTCCGGACAAGCTGGACGATGAAGCCGACCTCCTCGCTGTCTGAGCGCTCGTGGGCCTGGGGGCAGGTGGGTACTGGCGTCACCTGCAGGTCCTGGGCCCTGGCCTGCCCGGGGATCCCTAAACCTCCCCCCCTGCCCCCACGCACATCTTGCAGCAGCCTCTCCAACTTCTCCTGCATCTCCAGGAAGTAACGGGAGGTGACGAGTGCCTCTCCAGACTTGGCCAGGCAGTCGCGGGCCAGCTCGATGATCTGGTGGTGGATGAAGCCCAGGACGCCATCGGCCAGTGCCAGCCGGGCACCGGGCGCAAAGGCAGCCAGGAACTCCTGCAGACGGCCTTCCATCTGTGCCGTAGCCTGCGCAGGGTGGATGGGGCAACCTGGTCATTGGAGGGGGCTGGGGAGCAACACACAGGTGGGGGCAAGAGACACAGCTACGGGGAGAGACGTGACGATGGGGTCAGAGAACTGGGGGGAGGGGAGAAGCAATATGCCTAGGTTGGGGGAGGGGTGGCTTGAGACAGAGAGACAGAGACAGACAGAAATGGGACAGAGCGGGGCATAGAGCCAAGAAGACAGAATGCCACGGAGGGACAACAACATGGAGGGGAGTTAGGGCCGGTCCAGCCATCGGCACTGCCCACCTTGGGGAACCTCTCCCGGTACACATGATTCATCATGACGATTTCATTGTCGAAGGTCCCTGTTGTGCGTCCTGGGCTGGGGGTGGGGGGTGGACGACACACAGTCAGCTTGTGACATGGGACCAGAGACCCAGTCCAGGGGAGGGTCAAGGATCAAAGGCCAGGCTTGGACAGGGTCAGGGGCAGAGATAGAGGAGGAGCCACAATGTGGGCCCCAAAGCCAGCCCAGGGAGGGGCTGGGGTCAGAGGTCAAGACCCACCTGAGGCTGCGGGAACGGGGGCGAAGGTGGGGTGAGCGGTGGCCGCCCTCCTCGTCAGCCACGCTCTCTGAGCTGCGGAAATGCTTGGACAGGAAGCATAGTTCATCCGGCGTCGGTTGGAAAGGAAGCTGGTGGAGGCGCTCCCGGGAGGATGAGCTTGACTGGCAGGAGGGGGTATCAGGGCCACGAGTTCACAGTCAGCGCCAAAGCCAGAACCCCAGCATTACCCGTCAAGGCCTAGGCTGTCTGCTGGTCTCTGGATGGCAATATGTTCCTGCCTGGCTCCTATGCATCCCTCAAAACCCTAGCTCTGATGCCCCCTCCTCCAGCAAGCCTCCCTGCCCACACCCTAGGTAACCCCAAGACTCCCTCTGGCCAGGCACTAACCCCACGGGATGAGGATGTCTGTGTCCTCCAGACTGGGGGCTCCTTGGGACTGAGGCTGGGTCTTTTCAGTGACCCATACATTGCCCAGAATGGGGCACAAAGGGGGCAGCCAGGATGCTGGCTGACTGGACAACTATCCAACACCTTGATAAAAACCAAAGACGTGTCCCGCCCCACCTCGCACCCGCCTGTCTGCTGGCCAAGGTGGGACTGTGGGTACCGAGACGGTGGAGCTGGGCGTGTTGGTTCCATAGCCAGAAGATGGGAGGGATGCAAGGGACCATCTTCTGCCGTCAGCCCTAGAGAGGAGAACCAGAATAGTTGGAAGGAAGGCATGGCCCCCATGGTTTGTGGGGACTAAAGACAGATACCATGGCTGGCAGATCCTGGCCCTGTTGGAGGAAGAATCTTCTGAAAAGGCTGAGAACAGAGATTCAAGGTGAACAAGTCCGCTATGTGTTTTCTCTTCATCCTTCAGACACCTCCTCCAGGAAGTCCTCCCTGACCCAGCTGCCAATGCATACCCCATCAAAGCTCCGACTTCTCTGAGTTGCAGCTGCTGGGATACATGCTGGTCACCCCCACCAGACTGAGGACTCCCCAAAGGCCAGAGTCCAGCTTCCCCTTCCTAGACCTCCAGCATAGGGTATGGCACATGGCAAGTACTGAATAAATGTTACGGAGTGAATGAGTGACATTTAAGCGCCCAGTACACAACAGGTCCTTCACCAGCTGTTATTAAATGAGTTCATGACTTTTAGTGAGTTAATGGTTTTTAGACTGGAAGGCGTGCCCTCCTCCTCCCCAAGGGCTCCCTGAAATTACCTGTCCACGCGCGAGATGTGGCTGCAGAAGGCCGTGCATGTTTGCCAGGGGCAGAAGCCAGAGGGAGAGACCACCAGGGGGCAGGGGATAGGGGAGGGGAAAAAGTGAATGAGGAGGCAGGCCCAGCCACCAAGCACATGCCCCTGCCTGTCCCCTCACCAGCTGTGCTGACACCATCCCTCAAAGCCAGTGACCACTCACCTTCGGGCAAAGGGGAAGTTCACGGCAGATGCGGCTGAGAAGTTCCGAGGACTATCCAGGGGGCTGTTGCCTGCTGGGGAGGAGGTGGGGGACACTGAGTCAGAGGGGGTAAAGACAGGACACCGCCCCTGCATGCTTGTTCCCGCACTCACCTGTAGGGACGGAGAGCGGAGACAGGGGCCGGGAAAGGGTCGGTGAGGGCGTTCCTACCACGAGGCTTTTGCGGTTCCCACTACGGCAGCTGTTGGGAGAGGCGGGATGGAGTCAGGCGCTGGCCCAGGCCTCCAGGCTCAGAGGGCCGCGTGCCCAGGCCAGAGCACACATATGACCATACATATGGCTTTGCGGCAGGACGAGAAGCTAGGTGTGACCACTGCCACTCTGGTCCCAGCTGGATGCCCACAGGGCCCCAAGCTCAGCCTTTGGGGCCTGGGATAGCCACTTTTGACAAATATTACCTATTATTAAGATTATGGTGGTTATTATCGATGGCGGCATCAAGCACTTCCGGCCTCCTGATGGACCCTGCCCATGGCCAGGAGCCCCTGGCTCGCCTTCTCACGCTTCTGTGTTCACGATCCCACCCCCACACCTTTGCCTATGCCATGCCCACCGCCAGGAGGACTGACAAATAAGGCAAAGGGTGGAGAGGACCCTGGAGCCCACTGGGAATTGAGGCAGGTCCCCACTCCATCCCATGCACCCCTTCCCAGGCCCACGGCCCCAAATGTCTCGGCAACCTTCCTCCCCCGGACCCCCCCAAAATGCCAATATGACCCTTAAAAACCCTCAAGTCAGCATCTTGCAGCTAAGTCCCGTCCTACTTAACTTTTGCCCACGCGTTTCCCTCCCTCCATCCCAGGCCCCTTCTTCCAGGCCACCCCCACCCTGGCCCAGCCTCTCCCACCTGTGCCCCAGCCCCAGCCCCCCGCCCTGGCAGAGGGAAATTGAGAGCAACTCCGTCTTCCCTCCCTCCCTGGTGCGGTCGCCCAGCAACAGCTCTGGCTGCTCTCGACAAGAGCATCAGCCCACATACTCTGAGCCGCCAACGCAGCTCAGTGGCTCAGAGAGGAAGAGCTGAAACCTCAGGGCCTCACGGGGCCAGGAATGGTGTCCCAGGCAGAAGGCACAGTGCAGGCTAAGGCACGGGACAGCATGGTCAGCAACCGACCAAGGCAACAAGACAGGCAGGGAGGGATCCAGTCTGTCCACGGCTCCAGGTGCAGCTGCCCTCTGAGCCTCAGTTTCCCCATCTGTATACCTTGCAAGGCACCGGGAAGATTTGATGAACTACATACACAGTGTTCAACTTTGGGCCCAGCACTGGGTAGACTGCGGTGGGCACGTAAAGTGTCGTCTCTCTCCCCACAACTCCTGCAGGGCCTGGGACGCACAGCCGGGGGTGGGGGGGCAGGCAACGCCTCCCCAGTGAAGTCAGTCACTGTTTGCCTATCCCAACAGCCCCAGAGGTGGGAGAGATCACCTGCACCCGTTTCCCAGCCTAGGAAACTGAGGCCACAGATGTCAACAGCCGCAGGGAACTGTCCTGTAGTCTGATGTGCAGAAGCAAAAGTGAAACCCACAGGTTCCTGCAAAACTTCCTGCCAACACCCCCCCTCACCCATATAGCCGCCAGTCCCACATCCTCTCCCAGCCTCATCTGGGTCCTCAGCCCCACACTGCACCATTTGTCACAGCAGCAGCCTTGGGGAAACACTTGGCCCACCTCCCTCTTGCGCTCACGTGGGGCCTTCTTGAAAACAAAGCCATATCTGAGGTCTCAAAGGGGAACCTGGGCGTCATTTGTTCACTTGCCGAGCATCGGTCAAGTGTCCACTATTTGCTCAGCCCTCCCTAGAGAAGGCCCATGACCCTGAGAAGCTGCCTGGCCATTCAATAAACACCCATGTGGGACAACACAGAGTGAGAATATGGCAGAAAACACTGGCCTGAGGCCAGCTGCCCCCACCTGATCCCTGAGGTGCCCCTAAGCCCTCTGTTACTCCACAGGACGCAGAAGAGTCTAAGCCCTGAACCTAGTATTTGGGGTCCTTTAGCAGCTGCTGTCCCTGCCCCGCCTTTGCCTGTGCTCCCCTCTAGGAATGCCCCAACAAGAACAGAGAGGTTAAGGAACTGCCAGGCAGTGGCTGAGCTGGAATTTGGACCCAAGTCCTGTAAAGTCCACAGCCCTTACTGGGCCTTTGCTTTTCAGAAAGGGAAACAGAGACTCCAAGACAGGCCAGGCTTTGCTGTGGTTAAACCCAGTATTTTTCCCGATTTACCCACTTCTGCCACAGCACCTGCACGCCAGCCTCGTGCAGCAAATATCTGCTTCTGAAACAATATTTCCGCTGACGGGGCCCCGGGGACAGACTAGCTTTAGTTTTTCCAAGAAGATCCTCCCCAGGTCTGCCCAGGCCTAGGGACCCGGGTTCGAATTCTGACTCGGTCCCAACTCCTTGCTTCCTGTGTCACCACCCTAGCTGCGACCACGGCAGGCAGACATCCAACTCCGGGTAACAGGGCGAAAGGAGGGTGTCTGGGCCCCTAGCGAGTACCTTGATCCCAAAGCGTCCACCCCCTTCCCCCTACCGCCACACACAGCGGCCCTCGCCACGCCGCCGGGATGTACTTCTGGCAACTCGTGTTTGCTTGGCCGGCCGCCGCGCCTTTGCCCGCACGGTGCCCCCTACCTTTTGGAGCGCTGCAGCAGCGCGCCCTTGGCAAGGCGGCTCCGGTGGCCTGGCGCAGCCACCGCCGTCCAGTAGCTGGGGTCGGACATGCTGCTTCTCTTTGTGCCGCCGCCGCCGCCCGAGACCCGGGAGGCGCGGGGGCGCAGCCGGCGGCGGCGGGGCGCGAACCTCCGCGGCCGGATTGGCCCCGGGAGCCCCGCCGAGCGGGGCAGAGGGTGCGCGCCGCGGGGCTGGGGGTAGGGGACGAGAAGGAAGCGCGCGCCCCAGAGCGCGGCCGGGAGCCCCGCCCCGGAGAGCGCGGGGGCGGGGCCTTTCGGAGGCGGGGCCTTTCGGGGCGGGGCGAGCGACGCGGAAGCGAGGCTGGTGGACCCGCGTGCTGGCTAGTGGGCTGGGCGTTGCCAGGGCCGCGGGCGGAGGGGCGGGGCGTTGCCAGGGATGCGAGCAGCGGGGGCGGGGCGTTGGCGCCCGGTAGGTTAGGCCGTGGAACTTGGCCCCTTTCCCTTGAAATGTAAATCTGTTCACGTCCCCTTTTCCCTCTTTCCCCCCCGTGCTAACCCATTCTGAGTGTGGCACTTGAGAACTATCCAACGGCCTGGCCTGGCTCATGCTACCGCGCCCACGCTGGCTCCACTTCTCGGAACGTCCTTCCTGCCTGGCAAAATCCAGGGTCCCCTCTCCCAGGGAGCCTTTTCTTGTGTCTGGCTCTGTCTTCCCAAGGGTCCCAGCATCTCCCAGCCCTGGACTGCCAGAAAGAGCATGTTTAACAAACTGAGTCAGAGCATCTGACATGCTCTGCCTGTCTATGTGATGGAAAGGCCATCAGCCTGGCTACAGTCAGGACTCTGCGGACACCTAATTTAACTTCTCACGACTGTCTTCTCAATTGTAAGATGGGAGGGGAACCGGGTTGACAGGATGATTACATGAATTAGATGCAAGGTGGCACCCACAGTGCCTGATACATGTTTGAAAAATGTTAGTGTCAGGCTAACTTCCAGGCCTCTGCTTCTCCATCTAGAGATGTCCCTTCATGAAAATGGAATCAAATCAGAGGGACAGAAGGTGCTGGGAGTACAGTACATGCTCACCACAGAAATAGGACTGCCTCGGGGCGCCTGGGTGGCTCAGTCGTTAAGCGTCTGCCTTCGGCTCAGGTCATGGTCCCAGGGTCCTGGGATCGAGCCCCGCATCGGGCTCCCTGCTCAGCAGGAAGCCTGCTTCTCCCTCCCCCGCTCCCCCTGCTTGTGTTCCCTCTCTTGCTGTGTCTCTCTCTGTCAAATAAATAATAAAATCTTAAAAACAAAAAAGAAAAAAGAGATAGGACTGCCTCACACAGTAGGCAGTGAACTAATGCTTCTTCCTCTCATGACAGTCCCAGAAGGCAGGGATAGTGTCACCCTAACGGTGGCCCCTTCACAGGCCACATGACACTTTGGGAACCAACCCAAGAGGCCTGATGCTGAAGCCCAGATCCCACATCTGAGAAGAGAAGGCACAGAGAGGTGCCCTTGCCTGGTGTGTAATCCTAACTCTCCCCAACCCTCTTGCCACAATTTTGCTTCTCGGGTCTCTCAAGAGACTCCCCACCCCATCTTCATGGCCAGTGTCACTCTCAGGTATCTCCTGGGTGTGTCCCCCAGAATGCTCTCCATCTCCAGGTCCCCCAGGCCTGGGTCTCAAACACCCATATCTGGTCATTCACTCACTCAACGTTTATTGAGTACCTACTGTGTGCCTGACCTTGTGCTAAACCCTGAGGACCCCGTCCTCAGAGGCCCCAAGTCTGGTTGAAGAGGCAGAGAGTAACCTGGAAACAACGAAATGATCGAGGTAATTTCGAACACTGAAGTCAAGGAAGGAAAGGAAAGAGGTAACAACGGCAAAGGATGACCTTAGCCCGGAGGCCTCTCTGAGGAGGTGACACTATGGCCAGCCGAGACATTGAGAAGGAAGAGGAGCCAGCCATGGAAACAGTGTTCCAGGCAGAGGGCACAGCTTCGGCAAAGGCCCTGAGACAGGACTGAGGGGAAGATGCCAGCAGGGCTTACCATGGAAGCCTTGTGCATTGCAAGAGAAGTGCAGTTGTACAGTGGAAGCAATGGGGAGCCATGGAGGATGTGAGAGCAGGGGAGGAGCGTGATCTGAATTGTCACCACCCCCCCCGTGACTGCCATGGGGAACAGGAGCTATCGGGCAGGAATACAGACGGCAGGAGGCTAGTGAGGCGCTGTGACAGGGTCTGGGAGGGGGGACACTGAGGCCTGGACCAGGGTGAAGCTGTGGAGAAAAGTGGGTAGATTCTGGACTTGTTTGGAGGCCAATGGATGGGTCCTGCCGAGGGGCCAGATGTGGAAGGGAGGAGGGAAGCGGTCACTTCTGACCCTTAGGTATTCCATCTGAGCCACAGGCCAGGGACAGGGCCTCCTGCATGCAGGGAATGCAAGATCCCACAGGTCTGGGGACCCAAGGAGGGACAGAGTCATGGTCTCATGTCACCCTATGCTGACATGCTGTGCCCACGAACCCTCCCCGCCATGTGTGCCAGGAACACACTGCTGCGCAGTCAGGAAAGGAACTACCCCGCTCAATCCCAGCTGTGGCCGCACCCCGCACCGCCTACATGCCCCCCATTAAGCCCACGGCTCTGGCATCCCCAGCAGCCACTTCTCCCACACCCATCTGGCCCCGGTTTCCTCCTCTGCAGAACAGGGCTGCAGCTGACAATCCAGAGTGCCTGTGGCCGCGGCAAAGGCCTCCCATGAAAGGCTGAGCCACTGATCTCTGGCACCAGCCCACTGCCCACCAGATCCTGTCTCTCCCCGGCTCACACACCCTCCATGGCTCCTCACTGCTTTTACAGCAAAACCACACTTCTGGGTGAATCCCTCTCCGAGGGCTCAGATCTTAACCCTGTCTGCGACTCAGGATCTGCCCCCTTCTACTTGTGCTAACGACTGTGTAAATGGCAAAGCCGCCGTGAGCGTACACAACCCTACCCCCCTACCCCCAACCCTTTCCTGGTCTGACCACCCCAGCCCTTCCCACCTGCCCATGTACTGTCTGCACCCCTCCCAGCCCCGTCCGCTGTGTGGTTTTTAGTACCCTGGAAAGAAAAATGCAAATTCTTCCCATCTTTGGCATTCAAGGCCTCAGAGGGAACACTCTTCTGACAATGCCTTCTGTTGCGATCTTGTCAGAGAGGGCCAAACTCGTGGCCTTCTTCAGTTACCTCCCGCCCTTCTTCAGTTACCACCACCACCACCACCACCAGGCAGAGCCCTCCTACCTACTTCCCATTTGTCCATGCCACAAGCATTAACTGAGCATCTGCTGTATACCAAGCCCTGCCCTAGGACAGAGGACAGATCCAGGTCTGGTCCTCAAGGGGCTCCCAAGCCTCTGGGTGAGAAAAACAACCCAATAATCACACAAGAAAACATGGAAATCACACCCATGATGCAGTGTCCATGAGGGAAATGGACAGGCATAATGGATGTAATTGGGGCTTGGGAGACCCTGAATGGGGGGCTGTGGTTTGGAAAAGCTTCTTATCTGGGGGCTTGATAGAGACTTGACAAATGAAGAAAGGAGGAAAAGGAGGAAATGGAGCTCTGGGCTGAGGGGCAGCACATGCAAAAGCCCTGAGACTGGACCAGCTTGTGTTCTGGCAGCCCAGGAAGTCTCATGGCTAGAGGAGCGTGAGCCAGATGGGGAGATAGACAGGGAGGAGGTGGGGGGTCGCAGGGGCCAGACTCACGGGGCCTCAGCAGCTGAGGGAACAAATGTGGGCTTATTCCTAGGGTGCTTGGGACAGGGGAGGCAGGGACCCATTTCCTTGCCTGGCCCAAAGTGATGTGGTTCTGCTGCCCTCTGGTGGTGGGTGAGGAGGCTTTTTCTGCTCAGAGCCCCAAACACTCTGCCTCCATTTGCTCCTGGTTAAAACTGGCTGAGCTGTTTACAACAGGTCCCTCCCCTCATCCGGTAACTCCCGGGAGGGTAGAGGCCAAGGAGTCAGTGTCAGATTTGGCCTGATACTCTCTCCCAGGGTGCCGCTGGACAACACACTCTTAAGAGCTGAGTTTCCTCCTCTCCTAAATAGGGTGTAGAGCAATCCCTGCCTCCCACTGGACACCCCGACCTGGTCCAGCCCCCATCATCTCCTACCCGGATATTGTCCTAGCCACCTCCCTGACTCTGCCACCTCCATTACTGTCACCTGCCCCCAGCAGACCTTTCTTTCCCCAAAGCAGCCACAGAGGCTTTAAAAATCTTGGTCCTGGGGCACCTGGGTGGCTCACTTGGTTAATGTCTGCCTTCGGCTCGGGACGGGTCGTGATCCCGGGGTCCTGGGGTCGAGCCCCGCAACGGGCTCCCTGCTCGGCAGGGAGTCTGCTTCTCCCTTTCCTCCCTACTCATGCTCTCTCTCACTATTTCTGTCTCTCTCAAATAAATAAATAAAATCTTTAAAAAAAAAATCTTGGGGGCGGCTGGGTGGCTCAGTCATTAAGCGTCTGCCTTTGGCTCAGGTCATGATCCTAGAGTCCTAAGATCGAGCCCCGCATCAGGCTCCCTGCTCAGTGGAGAGCCTGCTTCTCCCTCCCCAGCTCCCCCTGCTTGTGCTCTCTCTGTCAAATAAATAAATAAAATCTTAAAATAAAATACAATAAAACAAAACACCACCTCCCCCAAGAGGTCACCATCTGAATGTATCCTGTTTGTCCACTCACTTGTTTATTGCCCACCTCCTGAGAGCTGACTGAGAGCCCCCTGAAGGAGGGGCTATGTCAGTCTTGGTCACAGCTACGCCCTTTGCACCTGGCTTGCAGTAGGTGCCCACTTAATGAAGGTAACTGTTACCCAGCACCCAGTGTGGGCTCCAAATTGTTCTCTCTTCTCCCCATTAAAGGTCTGTGGAAAGAATCTAGGCAGCTCACTCATACTAAGGTATAAATGATTAACGGGTCCTCGAATTCTAGACATCACTGACTCACACCTCTGTCGTCTCCCTGAACTTTTCCCAAGCTGTGCGAAGAGCCCATGATAATCCTGATATTCCCTCCTGTGGTGGGGGGGTGAGACCCTGAGACGCGCCAGGCACGGAGGGTGGCTCAAACCCTCAGTAGACGCTGGCAGCCATGCTGGCCCTGATACTTAGTCCCCAGACGTACTGAACCAGGAGAACTGGTGTCTCTTCTCTGAGCCTCGGCTTCCCCAGCTGAGAAATGGGGTCAGGAAGGGCACCTCCCTCACGGGGTTGTGGAGGAAACAGAAGGTATTTGGTACAGAGCTGGCACCCAGTCAAGCTGGCTCTTCCTCCCTACACCACTTTGCCCAGTTCAGTGCATCGGGCTGTCATGGTGAACTGTCAGCCTTGGGGTGTGTGTGTGTGTGTGTGTGTGTGTGTGTGTGTGTGTGTGTGTGTG